CCATTTGGCACCGTCTACAGTGCTCTACAGTGAAGCCGAGCATCTCCTAGATATCTGAAGACTCTCTTCGATGAGAACACAGCAATTAGGACCAGGCGAGTAAATGGGAGGAGGTCTCCACTAGTGTCCCCCAGTGGCTCCTCCCTTTTTCTTAGTCGGGCCATATGACAGAAGAAGGGTTGGATGTTGGCCCTGGTTTCCAGCAATAGGGTCCTTCCCGGACTGTCACATAATCTTGTTTTTCCGAATTTTCTCGTTTTTTTTACCTATGTTCTTCTAACGCAAAGATACATCAATGGGACACTGGACCCGATTTCCAGCAGGTGTTGCTCCCCACCAATAGATGGAGCCTCCCCGATGGTGCTAGTGGTGTCTGCTCTTATCATAACCCCTAGCCGCCGCTCGGGCTGTTGGTTTAAAAAAAAAAAAAAAAAAAAAAAAAAGGTTGTACGGGCGGCAAAAGATTAGGGTCAGTTGTTAGTAGTGTGTCAGGGCGTGGTTGACACATGCCTGTTGTCTCCTACCGCCCCCGCCATAACTTGTGAGCAACAAGGGGTCGCCCGACCTCACAGAACTCAGGGCTAAGCGACAAATCATAACCTAATCTCGGTGATTATTGGGACAACCCCGTCTTGGTCAAATAAGAAGGGTCGTAACCTGATTGCCGGAATTAATAGACATCTTCTTCTTGGTCAAATATGACCCCCGAGTAGAAAACACCTGGAATAGGTAACAACAAAAGTGAGAGAAACCAACCCCGATGCAATTCAGGGGAAAACCTGTACTGGTGGCACCTTGGTACCCCGACCGACCCACAATCCGCTGACGAACGAAGGGAGCACTTAATGAAATCCAATTTTTGGGTCGAATTTAGATTTGTGTCTCTTTGTGTGTAAGGAGCAACCCTTACCGACCTCGAGAATATTGCCCACGTCAAAGGATTTATTACAGACCTACCACCAGGGTTGCCAGGCCGAATGTACGGAGGCCCCTAAGCTGACCCCCGAACGTTCAGACGTTTGGGTCCCCGTACGGGGCCCGAACTCGAAGGGGTTTGGACCCCGCAAAAAAATATTTTGGTACCTACAAATTATTATTTTTTTCTGATGTTTTTTTTGCGAGTTCTCTGTTATGTAAGCTATCTGTCTCTCAATTTTTAAGTCATTCTGTTAAGCCAAACAAAAATGAAAAATCGGCAAAGATGGTGGTGTCAAAACTTGCTTTCCCACTTACTAATTTGTKTTTTTTCTCTTTTCACTTTTTGTTTTCCCTTTATTTCGGGGCCTGAAAAAAATTATTATTTTTTYAAAMTTTATTTGTAGGTTCTCTATKATGTWAGATACATATGTATAAARYTTCATGRCATTTGAMAGAGCCAAAAAAAAATGAAAAATCGCCAAAGATGGCGGTGTCAAAAACTTGCTCGCCCACGCAATAATTTCATTCTCGTTTTATTTTTTCTTATTTTCATTAATATTATTTATTTTTCGTATTTGATTTTTATTTCAAAGTTGGTAAGGAATTTGGATGTACGGTTGAGGCAAATGTTATTTAGTTTATTCTTCTGCATGACATATTTTTGTTTCAGAATTTTTGGAAACTTTTTTTTTTTCTTTTTTTTCTTTTTTGGTTCCGCATTCGGGAGAGGGGGTCCCAAACGTTCGGGCGTTCGGGTTCGGGTGTTCGGCCCGTCCCGAACGCCGGCAACCCTGCCTACCACAATATTTTGGCAAAAGGGACGATTCCTTGCTGGTGGCAGTGGAATGGGATGAATCCTTCCCCTTTCCTCTCAACGAAGAATAGAGATACTCCCATGGGGGTAGAGAATTCTCAGTCCCCATCAGCCACACACAGGACCCCTGGTGTTATGCATGCAAGATAAAGCACTTAATGAAGTCCAATTTTTGGGTCGAATTTAGATTTGCGCCTCTTTGTGTGCAAGGAGCAATCCTTACCGACCTCGAGAATATTGCCCACGTCAAAGGATTTATTACAGACCTACCACAATTTCTTGGCAAAAGGGTCGATTCCCTGCTGGTGGCGGTGGAATGGGACGAATCCAACCCCTTTCCTCTCAACGAAGAATGAAGATGCTCCCATGGGGGTAGAGAATTCTCGGTCCCCATCAGCCACACACAAGACCCCTGATGTTATGCATGCAAGACAAGGGGTCACCTGTGTTCAGACGACTGTTGTCCAACTAACAAAAACAAAGAAAAAAGGATTAAGGGCCTTGTGGTTCCAGACCCGACAGACGAGGAGAAATGGTACACGGAAGAGAAGGAACTACAAGGCTGGCTTTTCAAAGCATATGCAGATGGACGTCCAGGGAAATGGATGTGGCAGGGCAAAAGTCAGCCAGCGGCCTTACCCTCTAGAGCCAGGATTGCGACAGACAAAAATCTTAAGCAAACGGGCAAACCGGGAGTGGCTGTAGTCAGACTATTGATAGGAAATGACATCCCCTGGGGTCAGCTAGCCTGCCTACAGATTGCCTCCTTGGCGCTGGAATCGTTGACGGTCAATAGACTGCATCCCTTCAAATGGCTAACCAACAGAGACTAGACACTACCCTTCCCCGCTCAACAAAGGCAGGCGAGCAACCCGAGGCAAGCAGCGAGACTAGACATCCTCCTAGACCCCCTTGTGGCCATACATGCTTAAGCTTTGGAGGAAGCGAGGGCCGCAACAAAAACAGCTCCCAAACAAATGGCAAGATATCTGGAGGCAACCCCTGCTTGGTAATCCCAACGTCCTGGATGAAAACGACAACCAAAAAAAAAAAAAAAAAAAAAAAAAGAACGACAACCCCTTTAGTCTCAAAAACAACTCCCCATGGCTCACCTGGGCAAAAAGGCAAATGTATACAGTAGGGGACTTGTGGGACCCACTCTCAAATGATTGGTAACAACCAAACAGCTGCAACGTAGGCTTAAGCATGCCAAGAATGTGGGGGACAGGAAGATCATGTTGAAGGAAGCCCTCCCCCTTGCATGGCGACTCACCATCCAAACTGGCCCCATGGTCGGGGATGATGACTGGGTTGCCAAATTCGCAGACTTGCCCCGTCCGCTGACAGTGCTTAGAGTCGGCAGAAACAACAAAGTGCAATGCACACTAGAAGCAAATGACCTTCAAATGTCAAGGGCCAGATTCTCCAAACTCACAAGAAATGACAACCTAGACGGATCGAAAACTGGGGGGGGCTGATGCATGTCCGAGTCGTGGGGGACCCACGAGATGGACTTTTTGTATTTGAACCCACAACTCCGGTCGCCAAGCTCCCATTTGACCCGACATAGTGGGAATGGCCTGGCCCAAAGCCCATGCACATATGGGACTACACAGTCAAAGGGGGGTACAGGGCCTCAAGGACCGCCCCAACGATCGACCAAACATTATCCACCAGATGGGCGAGTGACTCACCCCTGGACTCACAGATGATAGATGATCTGCCCTGGGCTAAGGATGCCAAGATTATGCCCATGAATCTGAGAGCCCTTCAATGGCAAATTCTCCATCGCTGCCTGCCCACCCCCGACTGGTTGGTGTCTCGAACAGACCAGGAACAAAAAGGGTGGTTGTCACCTATATGCGCCTACCGTGGCAGAGCATCGCCGCCAGCCAGGGCGACTTTGGAGCATTGTCTATTGGCCTGCCCTATGGTCACCCAATTATGGCAGTGGTGGGATGCAGCCTTTCAATCTCTCACAGGGGTGCATATCCCATGGGACCTGGGGCCGCTACTACTGGGAAAAAAACAGCACTTAAAGACGCATTGGTCCCCCTTTGCAACTAACCTCTTCTCATACACGAGATTGCAGGTGCTCATGTTGGCCTGGAGAACCAGGTGGTCGTTTGAAAGAAGAGACCACCAATTCGGTCTGTAGCAAGCCCAACAAGTCATGGAAGAGGAAATCAGGTCCCATACGCAAGAAGCTTGTCCGAAAACAATAAAGCATATCTTCCTCCAATGCCCTAGGGCTATATCGATGTGGCGTTGGTGGGATAGAATTTGGAATCAATTGGGCACCACCCTACGTTGGCCACGGGACTGGAAAGCTCTACTCTTGGAGACTTGGAATCCACTGCAGGAGGATTATTTTACCCTGAATTTGTCCACAATAGGAAGAAGAGCAGTGTTGTGGGCAATTTGGGTGAGGAGATGTACTTTTGAAATGGAGGGGGTGTGTTTGGATGGTCCAGAATTCACTGAAACTATCAAACAACAAGTTCAAACTTCAAACATCAAACAGATGTTACTATTAAATGGGAAAATATCAAAGATAAAATACAGCACTTATCATTGAAATATGAGATCTTGCATCACATCCAAAATTTCAATCGTTTCTGGCTAGGGGAAGACCAGGGTGGGAGATTTGGGCAAGTGGCTAGGGAGGGATCAAGGAGACCAAGAGGAAATTTGTAGAAATTATCATTTGCCCTTCAATGACTAGACTGAAGTTGATCCTGCAATTCCCCTAAGGCCGCCTGTCGAGTTTCCTGATCCCTTTCCCCCCTCAAATCTATGTCTAGTCATGGTTTGGGGATGAATGAATCTAGCTCTTTTAGTTGGTATTGTATGATCATGGCCTGGGCATGAAAAGTCTGCATGACGTATGGCATGGTATAGCATGCTGAGGTTAAAAGGGGAAGGTTATTTGTGAGAAGGGACCCGTGCTAGGAGGAAACGCTAAGTTGGCGTCCTAGTAAGGGTGAAGAGGCACGGCGGGTTCATCACGTGGTCTCAGTTAATTCATCTTTATTACCCCAATTCATGCACTCAATGGGACGCTGGACCCGTTTTCAGCAGGTGCAGCTCCCCACCAAAAGATGGAGCAACCTGGAAGACTCTAGTAGGGGGGGTTGCCTGTATCAACTCTCCTTTTTTTTTTTTTTTTTTTTTTTCAACTCCCCTATTAGATCTGCTGGTTGAAAAAAAAAAAAGAAAGAAGAAGAAGAAGAAGAAGAAGGTAGGTAGGGAGCTGCTGCGAGATTTTGTGATCCTGGGCTAGTTTCCTTAGCTTTTTCTTGTTTTTCTTTCCCTGAGTTAGTCTTTTTACTTCTTGGAGCTAAAGTGAAAATTGATAATGATCAACCCATGAAAATGTTGCTTCACGCATGTTCTGTAAGTTGAAGATCACCTTAAGGATCTCATCAATGTACATCGCCCCGTGAGCAACTTTATCATTCTTGAGCACATCGAGTACATTCACTCTCCCTCCTCGAATCACGAATGCGTCTTCTACTGCCACTGGTAGAAAGTCATCTGAAGATGGGTGGAAAACAAACAAAGCACATGTGACAAATGTTCACAGTCAATGACGTCTCCAACAGCCTGACACTAGTATGAACCATCTCTCTCTCTCTCTCTCTCTCTCTCTCTCTCTCTCTCTCTCTCTCTCTCTCTCTCTC